ACAGGATAACTGGAGCATTGTCATTCTGATCTAGAATGAACACGTAAACTGTAACGTTGCTGCTCAGTGGCGGGGTTCCAGAATCAGTGGCAACAACTTGGAACTGGAAAGTTTTTAGACTTTCAAAGTCAAAACTTTTAAGGGCAGAGATTTCCCCCGTATCAGTATTTACATGTAGGAAAGACAAAACGTCTTTTTTACTTCCTTCTTTCACAATGCGATACGAAATAGCTGCGTTTTTGTTCTCATCTTTGTCTGTTGCACTTACAGAAAAAATAGACATACCAGCGACATTATTTTCTGAAAGGTAAAAAAAGAATGGATTTTGAAAAAAATCAGGACTGTTGTCATTTACATCGCAAATACGGATGTTTATAACTTTTGAATTTGATAATGGAGGGACACCGCAGTCCGTCGCACTTATAACAATTTGATATTCAGACTTCTGTTCCCGATCTAAAACGCTTTTAGTCACAACTGAATAAACATTTTCCTTATAAGATGTCTTTAATTCAAAAGGCACGTCTGATGTTACCCTCAATATTATTTTTCCATTTAGACCAGAATCTTTATCTGTTACACTAAGAAGTGATATAACTGTACCAGGCTTAGAGTCTTCAGGCACAGTGTCTGACACAGACGTGATTTCAATTTCAGGGGGATTGTCATTTATATCCTTTATTTTGATATTCACTCTACACACACCCTTTAAAGGAGGCGTTCCTTTATCTGTTGCCTCAATATCCAATTTATAAACATTATTCTCTTCATAGTTGAGTACTCTTTTTACCTTTATCTCTCCAGTTGTTTTATCAAGTTCAAAAATCTCATAGGCATTTTTCTTAAGCGTTTTTCCAAAGGTATATTCAATTTCGCTATTTATACCTTCGTCTGGATCCGTCGCATTTAGCTTATATATGAGAGTTCCAAAAGGAATATTTTCCTGCACTTCGATTTCATATATCTCTTGACTAAATTTTGGAGGGTTATCATTACTATCTAGAACAATAATAGAAATATTTAACTCGCCTGATCTTGGAGGTTTACCACCATCAAACGCTGTTATACTAAGGGAATGACTAACTCTTTTTTCTCTGTCCAGGGCCTTTTTTAGCACCAAAATTGGTATTTTATCATCATCTCCTTGACGAATATCTAATTCAAAGTGATCGTTTGGTGTTAACATATAATTCCGAACTGAATTGGATCCTGCATCTGGATCACGAGCAGAATGAAGCTGAAATCTACTTCCTGTAGATGTTTGCTCAAATATTTCAAATTCCTGCTCTTTTTCTGGAAAGCTAGGCGAGTGGTCATTTACATCAGCGATTTCCACAATCACATAATGCATTTCTAAAGGGTTTTCGACCAAGATTTTTAAGTCTATTATGCATGCACCACTCCCCTGACACAGCTCCTCTCTGTCGATTTTCTGACGGACAAAAAGATCACCAGTGTCCCGATTTACCTCAAATAGTGCCTGATTTGATCCAGAGACGACACGAAAACGTCGATCAGATAACAATGCCACTTCAAGGCCAAGATCCTTCGCAACATTTCCAACGGTTGTTCCTTCTCTAACCTCCTCGGGAACCCCATAACGAATCTGAGCAAACGCTGGCTTTCCGATAGAAAACAATAAACATATCCGAAGCAAAAGCACACCACGCTTCCATCCACGGCCATATGTGTGGCTCAACATCTTCATATCATATGTTATATAAAGTAGAGCAAAATTAAATTCCAAAAATATGAACTTGTATCGCTCCTCGACATCTTATGCACACAAAAAAGATCACCAAGAACCCGATGAGGGTTTTTTGCAGTCTGAACAAAAGCTGTTGAGGGGAGGAACAACTCGTGTTTCATAATGTTGCAGTGACACCTTCAGCTCATACAAAACCTTAATTTCAATTCACAAACCGTAATCAAATAATGTCAGGGCAAATTAAAAGGTTCACATTTATTCCTTTGCATCTTAATAAGATTAGAAAAATGAGGAAATTGCGCATCAAATGACTCCGTAAAACAAAAGTTCTATAGTAGGCCTACACTAACAAAATTACAAAATTCATTTTATTTCATTTTATTATTTACTGTTTTGTCTAAGATAAACAGCACGGATCCACCCGCCCCGGATTTGATCACAAATTATTAGCGGTTATCACTCCCACAGAATGGCTTCAGACTCCGCCTCCTCTACGTTCTAGTAGGCTTCTTATGGCTGAAAATATGTAGTTTATGGTTGATGATATCCGCTTCCGCCACTTCTAAAACCTTAAGTTTCGCTTTCTGTTTACCTTCTTGATGCGTTTTATCTATTAGTACTTCGAGTGAATTCCACAGATTTTAATCACACGGAATTCATGTGGTGTTTAAAAACAAGTCAGCTAAAAGGATATGTGATTATTTTTTGAGAGGGGTTGTTCGATATGAGCGACATGTCAATCAGCTTTTTTTTAATAGATGAAGAACTACAAAAATAATGTTCAGATTACACATAAATAGATTTATAAATTCTGTGGTTAAAAACAGGAATTAGCCACTTTAGGGTTAGGATTAATTCAATGATAACATCCTACCGAGTCCGAACGATCAAACAATAGATTCATTTTAACTGCTCTTGTAGATGATTTTTTTTTTGCCACCAATGTAAATCCTTTTCATCTATTGACCAGGCTACCATGCTGAAAATTAACTCAAGAAAGCAGAACTTGAAAAGGTTGTGCTGTATCAGAACAGTTCTTTTTTATATTCTTTAATTATTTTGTCATTATATAATCAAGTAAAGTGCCATTTATTTGGATGGTAAAATAGATTTCAAGGGTGGCCTGTCAGGCCTACAAGTTATACCAATTATAGGTTAACATAACCTCATGTGCCTCTAGGGGTTCTTTTGAAGGTTGTATTAAAATGATCTGTCCAAATCTACCTGTGTTTGAGAACTGTGGTATATTTCGTTTGATAAAATAACAAATGGTGGGTGCTGGTAAACAGACTAAGAGAATTTAAACAATGCTTAAAAAAATAAACTATTAAATGTCTTTGTAAAATGGAGAATAACTCTGTTATTGAATTGCTTATCTGGCATGCAGGGGAAAAAGGTGCAGTACAGTATTATATAATATGAAGATTAATTTAACTATTAAATGTTTCAAATGTCTTACCTCTTCAGATCTTCTGTTCCTATCGGGTAGCATGAGTGTATTAGCATGACTTCCAGGTACTATGGTAGATCCAATACTCATCCTGGGTCCAACTAACATGTATCGTTTGTCTCCAGATCTGTACTGGATGCTGTGACATAGTGTTCCATCATAATTAGTCTCCTGGAGATATTTCGAAGTATAGTCTGTGGATTTGGAGCACTGCATTGCAATCAGCACAACAATACTGATGATGAACAGAACAGAAACTGCTCCTAAAGTGATCATCAGGTAAAAAATCACATTGTTATCCTCTTCACTGCTTGTTGCACTTTTAACATCAGATGCAGCGTATGCCTCTTTTGGCTCGACCAGTTTAACAAACACAGTAGCTGTTGCTGAGAGGGAAACGTTGCCATTGTCTTTTACCAGTATGACCAGTTTATGTTCAGCTTCATCTGTTTCTGTGAATGAGCGAAGTGTTCGGATCTGTCCTGTGTAGCGGTCCAAACCAAAGAGGCTGTGGTCAGTAACTTCCTGGAGTGAAAACAGCAACCAGCCGTTATATCCTATATCAGCATCATAGGCTCTGACTTTAGTTACCAGGTGTCCTGCGTTCACATTGCGGGGAATCTCCTCCACACCTTCAGCAGAACCATTGGAGCTGACTGGATAGAGGATGACTGGAGCGTTGTCGTTCTGATCCAGAATGAACACATTCACTGTGACATTGCTGCTCAATGATGGAGTCCCTGAATCGGTGGCAACAACTTGGAACTGGAAGGTTTTTACACTTTCAAAATCAAAACTCCTAAGGGCAGATATTTGTCCATTTTCCGAGTTAATGTTTAAAAACGCAGATGTTTTTGACACTTTGCCTTCCTCTCTGACCAAATTATATTTTATAGCTGCATTTTCGTCCAAGTCTTTATCAGAAGCAAAAACAGAAAATATGGAGTTTCCAGGGGCATTGTTTTCATATATATAAATCTCAACTGGATTATATGCAAATTCTGGTGCATTATCATTTATATCTGAAACATCAATACTTATAGTTTTAGAGGTAGCTAGAGGAGGCTGACCACAGTCTGTAGCTGTTATGGTTATATCATAATGAGAAACAGCCTCTCGATCCAGATGTTGTTTTAAAACTAAAGAGTACATATTCTCTTGAAATGATGGTTTTAACTCAAATGGTATGTTATCTGAGAGACTACACATTACTTTTCCATTTAAACCCGAGTCCTTGTCTGTAACACTGATTAAAGAAACCAAAGTACCAGGTTTGGAGCTCTCTGAAACCTGCTTAGAATGAGATGTCACCTCTATTTCAGGTCTATTGTCGTTTTCATCATGGAGTTTTATGATCACCCTGCAAAAACTGCTCATTGGTGGATGTCCATTGTCAGATGCCTGGATATCTAATTTAAATACATGCACTTCTTCAAAATCAATTGTTCCTTCTACTTTAATTTCACCAGTGACTTTATCTAGGCTAAACGTTTCATATATTTTGGGTTCAAGTTCACCACCAAACGTATATTCAATTTCTCCATTCACACCTTCATCTAGATCAGTTGCATTGACTGTAATAACACTGGTGCCTACCTTTGCATTTTCTGAAATTGTCACTGAGTACACTTCCTGGCTGAATGTGGGGTGGTTATCGTTTGAATCAAGGACTATTATTGTAACATTTAGAGTTCCTGATCTTGGAGGATTTCCACCATCTAATGCCGTCAGAATCAGTTTATGCTCGGCATTTTTTTCTCGATCAAGGGATTTTTGCAGGACTAAAAACGGTATCTTATCCTCTCCTCTTTCTCGAATTTGTAAACTAAAATGATCATTATGGGTTAGTTTGTAAACACGCACCGTATTTTGAGCGACATCTGGATCATGGGCAGTCGGTAACTGGAAACGTCTGCCTGGCGGAATTGACTCTGGAATTTCAAGTATCTTTTGTTTCTCCTGAAAGGTCGGTGAATTATCATTTACGTCAGTGATTTCGACTCCAACGTAATGCATTTCCATCGGATTTTCTGCCACCATTTTCAGGGTTATCATACACGGGGAAATCCTCTCACAGAGAACCTCTCTATCCAGTCTTTCCTGCACATACAGAGCGCCACTGTTGGGATTTACTTTGAACTGAACAACATCCGATCCTGAAACAATACGGAACTGCCTCTCCACTAACGTAGAAATGTCCAAACCAAGGTCCTTTACAATATTTCCAACAACGGATCCTACATTCGTTTCCTCTGGAATTGAATATTTCATCTGCGCCGAAATCCGCTGCACGCAGAGCATCACAGAAAAACTGAGAGCCGTCCAGAAATACCTCCTTGCTCCGCTTTGTCCTTTTACCCCCATTGTTTCGTTCCCGACTAACAATATCAATAATAAAAACAAAAAACACTCACAGTTCGTAACATAGACATATGTTCTTAGTTGTGACGTATTCCCCTGAAAAATTTTAGTATCGGTTTAGATGAGATGAAGAAGTGTATCTTTATCCAAAGACAACGTAATATCTCAGTCACCCGATAGGGAGTATTTTTTGCTATGGGCAGGGCCAACGCACTAACCCAACAATCAAGCTCGGTATGATGCTGACACCTTGTGGAGTGATAACCAAACAGTTCATCACGGGAATATACTGAATAAACCGTTCAGTCGCTTTAACTAAGCATAATAAGCGATAGACAGACAGACAGACAGACAGACAGACAGACAGACAGACAGACAGACAGACAGACAGATAGATAGATAGACAGATATATTTTGATAATCAGAAATTCAGACTAATACATATTTTTGGGTTAATGTCCATCACTTTATCTGTATTTGTGGCCCTGTTGGTTAATCATTTTAAATTGAATGTATAAATAACTAGGTTATTCAAATTATTGTCATCTATTAATTGAATAAAAATGCAATTGAAGAGAAAGAAGGTATGCATAAAAAAACATACAGTGTCTCATACATCATACATTAATGAGCAATCTACAATTCAGATGCAGAAAAATTGACCTTAGATGTTCAAAGTTTGGTGGATTACTCCAGAAAATAGCAAAAAAATATGTACATCTCGGTACCACAAAAAAAGAATAAATAAATAATGAAACTGTTGCAACATCTTGTTGAAAAAAAACATAAAGGATAAATCCTTACCTCTATAGACGTTTTCCTCCTGTCAGGCAGGACCAATGTATTTGCATGACTTCCAGGTACTATTGTAGATCCTATACTCATCCTGGGTCCAACTAACATGTATCGTTTGTCTCCAGATCTGTACTGGATGCTGTGACACAGTGTCCCATCGTAATTCGTTTCTTGAAGATATTTAGAAGAATAGTCGGTGGTTTTGGAGCACTGCATTGCAATAAGAATGATGATACTGATGATAAAGAGAAGTGACACTGAGCCCAAGGTGATTATCAGGTAAAAAATCATATTATTATCCTCCTCATTCTTTGTTGCTCTTTTATCATCAGAAGCTGAAAAAGCTTCTTTTGGTTCAACAAGTTTGACAATCACAGTGGCTGTTGCTGAGAGAGAAACGTTGCCATTGTCTTTAACCAATATGACCAATTTATGCTCAGCCTCATCTGTCTCTGTGAATGAGCGAAGCGTTCGTATCTGTC